AAATGATATTGTAAGTTTTGGTATCCATGTGTTTATTGCTATATAGAGAAATACAATTAACTGTTGTATGTTTGTCATGTCTCCTGCAACCTTGCTGAACTCACTTATTAGTTTTGTGGGTGTGTGTGTGGAGTCCTGGGGACTTTGTATGTGGATGTTCATTGTCATCTGCAAATCAGGACAGTTTTATGTCTCCCTTTATAATCTGTATAAATTTTATTTCTTTTCTTGCCTATGACACTCACTAGAACTTCTAGTACTGTGTTGAATAAGAGTAGTGAGAGTGGACATCCTTGTCTTGTTCTCAGTCTTAGGAGGGATCAGTTTTAGTCTTTCATCATTTAATATAATGTTAGTTGTAAACGCTCTTTATAAATTTGAGGAAGTTCCCCTATATTCCTAATTTTATAAGAGTTTTATCATGAATGGGTGTCAAATTTTGTCAAATCAGTTTTATGCATTGATCAGGATGATCAGGTAATTTTTCTTCTTTTGCTTGTTAATATGGTGGGTAACATTGATTGATTTTCTAATATTGAACTAGCCTTGAATCCCTAGAAACAAACACCACTTGGTCATTGTGATAGTTTTATGTGTCAACTTCACTGGGCTACGGGATGCCCAGATAGCTGATAAAACATTATTTCTTGGTCTGTGAGAGTGTTTCTGGATGAGATTAGCATTTGAATTGGTGAACTGAGTAAAGTAGATAGCCCTCCCCAATATGGGTAGGCATCATCCAATCTGTTGAGGGCCCAAACAGAACAAAAAGGCAGAGGAAGGGCAAATTCGCTCCCTCTCTGCTTGAGCTGAGACATCCATCTTCTCCTGCCCTTGGACATTGGTGCTCCTGGTTCTGGGGCTTTCAGACTCACGTAGGAACTTACACCATCAGCGCCCGCACCCACCCCCCGCCTCAATTCTCAGCCCCTTGGATTTAGACTGAATTAGAGCTTTCCTGTTTCTCCAGCTTGCAGATGGTAGATTGTGGGACTTCTCAGCTTCTATAATGGTGTGAGCCAATTCCTATAATAAATCTCCTCTTATATATGTATCTATGTATATCCTGTTGGTTTTGTTTCTCTGGAGAACTCTGACTAATATAGTCAGGTGTGTAATGCTTTTTGTAGACTGCTGAGTTCTATTTACTAATATTTTGCTAAAGATTTTTACGTCTATATTCGTGAGGGGTGTTGGTCCGTAGTTTTCTTTTTTCATATTGTCTTTGTCTTGTTTTGGTATCAGGATAATACTAGCTTCATAAAATGAATTGGGAAGTTTTCCCTTATTCTGGAAGAGATTGTGTAGAACTGGTTTTAATTCTTCTTTAAATGTTTGGTAGAATTCTATGGTGAATCCATCTGGACTTGGAGTTCTCTTTTGGGAGTTTTTAGGTTGCAAATTTAATCTCCTTAATAGCTATAACACTATTCTATTTTTTTGATATTGGATGCTAGCTTGTGGTTTTTGAGGAATTGGTACATTTTATCTAAGTTGTCAAATTTATGTATATGTAGAATTGTTCATAGTATTCATTTAACATCCTTTTGACGTCTGCAGAGCCTGAAGTGATATTCCTTATTTCCTTACTCATATTGTCAATTTGTTTCCTCCTTTTTTTTTTTTCGGTCAATCTGTTAGATGTTTGTCAATTTTACTGATCTGTTTTCAAAGGACTAGCTTTTTGTTTGATTGATTTTCTCTATTATTTTTCTTTTTTCAATTTCATTGATTTCTGCTTTATATTTCCTTCCTTCTACTTGTGTTGGGTTTATTTTGCTCTTCTTTTTCCAGGTTCTTGAGGTGAAAGCTTAGATTGTTCATTTGAAACTGAAACTTTTCCTCTTTGCTAATGTAAATATTTAATGCTATAAATTTCCCTTTCAGCATTGCTTTAGCTGTAACCTACCCATTTTGGTATACTGGGTTTTCAATTTCATTCAGTTCTATATATTTTAAAATTTCCTTTGAGACTTCCTGATGGAGTATTTTCAAGCGTGTTATTTAGTTTGCAAGTTTTGGAGATTTCTTTTTATCATTGTTATTGATCTCTAGTTTGGTTCCATTATGGACGAAAAACACACCCTATCATTTCAATTGTTTTAAATTGGTTGAGGTTTGCTTTATAGCTTAGGATATGGTTTATGTTGGTATATGTTCCATGGATGCTTGAAAATAATGTGTATTCCGCTGTTGTTGGGTGGTGTGTTCTATCAGTTAAATATTGAGTAGATTCTGTTGATGGATGATATATCCTTGCTAATTTGTTGCCTAGTTGTTCTATGAATTATTGAGACAGCAGTTGTTGAGGTCTCCAAATATAATTGTGGGATTTATCTATTTATCCTTTCAGTTCTCTCTTTCTATATATTTTCTATATCTATTGTATATATTCTCAACATATTTTGCTGCTCTGTGCATGGTGAAAACATTTAGGATTGCTGTGTCTCCTTGTTGAACTGATTTTATTATCATTATGTCACAACCTTCTCTCTGGTGATTTCCTTTGCTCTGAAATTTATTTCATTGCTCTTGAAGTTTATTGGTAGTAATACAGCCACACCTGCTTTATTTGTTAATGTTTACATGATATATCCTTTTCCATCCAACCTATATTGTTATATTTGAATTGAGTTTCTTGTAGACAGCTATAATTGGGTCATGGTTTTTAATCTGCTCTGCCAATTGCTGTCTTTTAATTGGTGTATTTAGACTATTTACATTTAATGTAATTATTAATATACTAGGGCTTAACGTTTGTATTTTGTTTCTTCTCTGTTTTTTTCTCTATTTTACTTTCCTGTCTTCCAATGTGTTGCTTGAACATTTCTTAAAATTCCATTTTGATTTCTCTCTCTCTCTCTCTCTCTATTTTACATGACTGTGTAAGTTTCAGGTGTACAGCATGATGGTGTGATACATATATTGTAAAATGATTACCACAATAGGTTCAGCTAACATCCATCATCTCATATAGATACAATAAAAAGAAAAAAAATCCTCCTTGTGATAAGAATTCTTAGGATTTACTCTCAACAACTTTCCTACATATCATACAGCAGTGTTAACTATAGTCACCATGTTGTACATTACATCCCTAGCACTTATTTATCTTATAAGTGGAGGTTTATACCTTTTGACCACCTTCCTCCAACTCTCCCTCCCCTCACCCTCTACCTCTAGTAACCACAAGTCTGATCTCTTTTTCTATGAGTCTTTTTTTAAATTCAACATATAAATGAGATCATCCAGTATTTATCTTTCTCTGTCTGGCTTATTTCACTTAGCATAATGCCTTCGAGCTTCATCCATGTTGTCACAAATGGTAAGATTTCCTCATTTTTTATGGCTGAATAATATTCCATTGTGTATATATGTATATATTTACAACTTCTTCATCCTTTCATCCCCTGATGGACACTTAGGTTGTTTCCATGTCTTGGCTATTGTATATAGTGCTGCTATGAACATGGAGGTGCAGATATCTTTCTGAATTAGTGTTTTTGTTTCCTTTGGATATATATGTTCCCAGAAGTGGAATTGCTGGATCATATGGTGGTTCTATTTTTAAGGTTTTGAGGATCCTCCATACTGTTTTCCATAGTGTCTGTACCAATTTACAATCCCACCAACAGTGCACAAAGTTTCCTTTTTCTCCACAACCACACCAGTGTTTGTTATCTCTTGTCATTTTGGTGATGGCCATTCTAACAAGCATGAGGTCATATCTCATTGTGGTTTTAATTTGCATTTCCCTAATGACTAGTGATAGCATCTTTTCATATACCTGTCGGCCTTTTGTGTAGTTTCTTTGGAAAAGTGTCTATTCAGGTCCTTTGCACATTTTTTTTTAAGTTCATTGATTGATTGATTGATTGATTTTGAGGAAAATTAGCCCTGAGCTAACATCTGCTGCCAGTCTTCCTCTTTTTGCTGAAGAAGACTGGCCCTGAGCTAACATCTGTGCTCATCTTCCTCCACTTTATATGTGGCATGCCTACCACAGAATGGCCCGCCAGGCAGTGCCATGTCCACACCCGGGATCCGAACTGGCGAACCCTGAGCCACCAAAGCAGAACATGCGAACTTAACCTCTGCGCCACCAGGCCAGCCCCGCTTTTGCACATTTTTTAATTGGATTATTTGTTTTTTTGCTATTGAGTTGTGTGAGTTCTTTATATATTTTGGATATTAACCCATTATCAGATATATGGTTTGCAAATATTTTTTTCCTATTCTGTAGGTTGTCTTTTTGTTGATGGTTTCTTTTGCTGTATAGAAGCTTTTTACTTTGATGTAGTCCCACTTGTTTACTTTTGATTTTGTTGCTTATATTGTTTTTGAGTTTATATTTCTGCATAGCTTCGTTAGTGGTTGCCCTAGGTAGGACATTACATATACATAACTTGTCGCAGCTTACTAGTGTTGACATTTATCCAGTCTAAGTGAAATGTAGAAATCTTAGCTCTCCTCGTTTATGATATATTTGTTTTAAAATATTTCCTTTGCATCCACTTAGCACCATATCAGACAGTGTTATAATTTTTGCCTCAACTGTCAAACATGATTTTGAGAACTTTATGCCGTTAAGCCACTTATCCTAAGTGTCTGTTTTCATCTATAAAATAAGAGGATTATGCTCCCTCCTAGCTTTCTGCATTAGGAAGTAAGATGTAATTATCCCCATTTCACAAATGAAGTATGTAAGATCAGAGAGGCTGAGTCACTTGTCCAAGGGCACACACAGCATACTGGTCAGGGACAGAAATAGGACTCCTGCTTCCTGGGCATTCTCTCTCTCTCTCTCTCTTTGATTTATTCATTAATTTGATCAACATATAAACATTTCAAAATTAATACAGAATACGCTTGACAGAAAAGTGACCATCTACACGGTATGATCTGAAAGACTGATGGTTTCTAAACTTTTTGCTCAAAACTGACTCTCTCCTTGGCTGGCCATGGCATCTGAAATTTCTATCTCGTCTCATTTCTTTAAGTTCAACTGTGGAAGACCTTGTGAAAAAAGAGGTGCCCCACGGAAGACGCACATAAAGTCCGACCCCGAGACCTCGGCGCTAATGCTTACGTCATGTTGCGGCAGCATCGGGCAACAACTGAGGGAGTGGAACCAGCAAGGATGTTTTCAGGGACTGCACAAAAGCCGATATGAGACATGGCCGCTGTGATTTATGGGAATCAGTGTCCCAACTTAGTCAAGTAGAGTGAGTCTTACAAGTCTTTCAGTGTGATATCAATGTAGATCATTAATGGGAAGAAACATTTTATAATAGGATTGAATTTAATGAATTCTGCGGTATGTTTCCTCTGTGCGATGGAGACCTGTCATTCAAACTCCAAATGCAACTCAGTGTCTTAGGTAATTATTGTGTAATTATTGCAACGGTTTCCGTGATAGCAAGTAGCTGCTCATGCCTTGGGCTTAGTCCTGTGGTGAGGAACCAAGGCTAAGCAACGTTTCTGGTCTCGCCTCCAAGTGGTCATTTACATGGGGGAAGTTCCAAGTTTCACCAAGTGGGATGTATTCTAGAAATGAATGTGTAATAGGAAGGCATAAGTAGGAAGTAGGATTTGAAGTGGCTCTGGAAAAGAAAGCTGTTAGGCTGATTCACAGACTGGGGGTACTAACACAGATAAAGAGAAGGAGACGAGGTAATGAAGAACTTAGCTTTACTCACAGGAAGGGAATACAGAGTTTAGGGCTGTTTAAAGATGAGATGAAACGAGATGGGTTGGACTGACAGAGTTTTTCCAAATCATCCTGATCTGGCATTTGTTTGAGTGTTTTTTGAATTTTGATCAGTTTTCTCATAATACATATACCAACACTGAAGTCGTTTAGTGACCCAGGGATCCGAATTCATGGAATCACTTTAAGGAGACAGATAGACAGGTTTCTAACCATGCAGCTATTTGGCTCTATTCAAATCCCACTTAAGAATATTACCTAGATTTAAGATAATCCTCAGAAGATTTAGGTTCCATTAAAAATTTTGAGCACAGGATAGATATAATCCTTGATTCTTCATTTAATAAAAAATAAAGGGAAGTGGGTGCATACACACTAGCACCCTGAAATAGCCATGATTGGAAATAACTTGATTGGAATACATTTGACAAATAGAAATACATTTGAAATCATTGTGCGACATTTCAGGTGGTTTGGGGAAATGTACTTCCCTTTCCTCTTTTTCAGTCTGATAAAAAAAAAAAAAGAAAAGAAAAGAAGAGTCTCTCTTTGACAGAGTTTTACAGAAGCATTTGCTCTTGCCGGTATTCATGGGGTGCCAAGGCGTGGTATTACTCACTGGCTCCTGTCTTGTGAGTCAGGGAAAAGATTTCAAGCATCTACCAGGTGGCAAACACTGCACCAGTTGCTCTGAAGTTAAATGAAATGGAAGAGAAGGACCCTGTTCTTGTTAAGGAGACAAGGCTAAACCTCTGAAAGAATGTAAAACATTACAAATTAAATATATTGTGTTGTAATCATAATTGCTGGCATTTTTTTTTGTAGCATGTTGCAGTTTTCAAAGTAGTTTTGCAAGCGTCTTTTCATTTGATACTAGCCGTATATGGAGTGTTTACTATGTGCTGGATATCAGAAATATTATTTCATTTAGTCTTTCTAAGAACCCTATGAGGTAGGTGCTGTTAATCTTTACAGATGAGATCCTTTGGCAGTTCTGAGGGTAGTCCGAACAAGCTTTTAAAATAGATTCAGAAACAGGCTCATGGAGGATAAAAGGCTTCCACAGGGTTGTTTGACTTTAATGACCTCCTCTTTTTAATCCTTCCTCTTGGACCGGTCTACAGTGATGCCAGCATGTGAACTTTCTGACATTAAATGTCCTTAATAGTCTATCTTTCTACCAACGCTTATTTATATTTTTAGTCCAACACTTTGTGTGAAGAGGCAGGATACTTTGTGACGGGTTTGTTGAAGGATCTGTGTAGCCTCCTAGTTCATGCCCTCTGCCATAGGTCATCCACATGCCTCTGCCCAGACCTTTTCCCCGAGCTTCCAAATTATCCCCTGCCCGGCCCCTGACTAGCCAGCTAGTCTCTGTCGGTGAGTTAATGTGTACTTTGGCCCCTGACCGTTTGTCCTTCTGCACAGAGTGGAAGACGTGCATCGCTTGAAGCTCCGGTGGCAGTGCAGCAGCAGCTTCGCCTCTTCCTTCCTACGTCACCAGGTCCTGAGGTCTTTCTCACGCAGCCGTAGGAGAGGTCCTGGTGCGACAGTACTGGAGGACATGTGGTCTGTGCCACTTACTCACGCAGCCTGCATGTTACTTCCTTGAGCCTCAGTATCATACATTGAGAGTATTGAGTTTGATCACTAAGCTCCTTTCCAGTAAGAAAAGTACCTGATTTTATGAAATAGGAGGCATTAACTCATATGCTATCAGATCTTTGCATGGCTGGCTTCTTGTCACTCAGGTCACCTAGTCACTCTAACGTATGACCCCAGCTTTTTTTTTTTTTGGTGAGGTAGATTTGTCCTGAGCTAACATCCACTGCTAGTCTTCCTCTTTTTTTTTTTTTTGCTTGAGGAAGATTGGCCCTGAGCTAACATCTGTGCCAATCTGCCTCTATTTTGTTTGTGGGTTGCTGCCTCAGCATGGCTGAGGAGTGGTGTAGTCTGTGCCTGGGATCTGAACGCGTAAACCTGGGCCACCAAAGTGGAGTGGGCCGAACTTAACCACTATGCCACCAGGCCGGCCCCCCCAGCTTTTAATTTTAGATAGTGATATGTGCAAGGAAGAAATTCCTTCCTTCCCTTCCTTCCGTCCTTATTTGTTTCTTTTCTGTCTCTCCTCACTAAAATGTGAACTGCAGGAGGTCAGAGCCAATGTTTTATTCATGGTTGTAACCCCAGCATCTATAACAGTGCCTGGTGCATAGTAGGTGCTTTATAAATATTTGTTCAATGAATGAATGAAGTCCATTAAACTGGATAAATCCAATTGTACTTAGATTGTTAGTAGCCAGACGCCTCACATTTTAGAGGAGTTCTAATAGTTCATCCCATCTGCCATCTCGTGCTACACATAACTTAGGCTGGGTAAATGGGTTTCCTCATTGCCAGCAAGTCCCTGGGCAGGAAGTGCCACAGCACCGTCAGCTGCTTACGCATTATGTTTGCCATGCTGTTCCTTTTGACTCTTGTTAGTGCACTGGCTTCTTACAGCCTGGCTAGCTTCAGGAACTGTATGAAATAGCAGTTCAAGCCTTGTGGAGATGATTTGAGGATTTGTTTCAATTTATGAGTTCTTTGGACCAGTCTTCTCTCCCTTTCAAAGCAGGTCTGGAACCATCATGTGGTAAACCCTGTCGATGCATTTTCATCTCGTACTTGCTGGTTCATTACACTGTCTGGTTTGCATGGTGCCCCAGTAGATTGTCAGCTCATCTGTATAGCAGTTTATTCCATCTGCAATGCTTCATTATTTTCGAAGAAAAATGCTATTCGCCCTTGAGCATGGCTGCAGATCTTGCTCTGCTGGGGTGCTGGAGATGAAGCAGCTCTGCAGATGAATGCTTGCTTGAGGCCCAGGAAGTGGAATTTAGTACCTTTCTGAAATTGAGTGCTTTGGGTAGGATGGTTATCTGGAATATCTAGGGCATCCAGGATGGAAACAAGAGACGCTCTAAGTCTAACTGTAGAACAAGGGCAAGGGGAGGGTGGGAAGAATGGCAAGTATGTACCAGGGACTGTGTTGTGCAGTTATCTCATTTAATCCCCTGGCAAACCAAAGGAGAAAACCGGTGCTCATTGATTTAAATACCCACCAGTGAATAGGCTGAGCTAGTGACTCAACAGACCTGGCTGACATCAAAGGCCATGACTTTTTTCACTATACTGTGCAGCTCCCAGGACAGTGCCTGGTACATCAGGGAGTGTTCATTGAATGAATGAGTGAATGAGTGAACGAACGTTGAACAAGCTTGGTTTTACTTCTTTGTGATTTCCATTTTAATGGCCTCTTTTGCACTCTACTCCAGAACTGTCAGCTACCTAGCTCTCCTCCGTGACTTTGGTGCTCCTTGTGGGTCTGCCCTTCTCTTAACTTGATGATCCATTTTTCACCTTGCATACTCAGCTCCCCTCCCATTTAGATCTCTGGTTTTGCTCCTACTCTTTTCGGAACCTTAGCTAAGAAGTTGGTAAAATAAGGTGTGCCTCAATGTTTATGGTGATCATTATGCACTTACCACGGTCGGGAAGAATTGCTTTATGCAAAAGTTTATCTCTGAGAACAGTTATTTCGAGGACAGTTGTAGTTAGGTAGAGGGTAGACTTTGGGTGGGAGGGAATTTGAATGTCTTTCAAATCATCCAAGGCTGTCTGCTGCTTATTCTACTTATGCTGAGTGCAGTGAAATTGAGAGGGAATCCTAGGTACAAGGAGGCTGTGTTTGGGAGATAGAACAGGGGATTTAAGGATATCCCAGCTCTGAGGAAGGAACCATCAGCTGGCAGACCAAGACGTTTAAGCTTCCAGTGCTGAAGAATGAAAACAAAATGTCTTCTCCAGATTCCGTCCCTTAAAGAATTTAATGAATAGAATGGGGATTTGTTTTCCTAGCTCTTTAAGAAAATGTGGCTCTGTGTATAACAATCTACCATATTGTAAGAACCTATCCGTCATAAATAGGGAGGTTTAGGAACAGAGCTTTGAAGCCTTAAAAGCTCCAAAACTACTGCATCAATGGTGCTCACTTCACACCACCTCCCAGCCCTCCAGGGGTGCCTCCTTCCTGAAGACCGACCCCAGGATCTGAGAAGTGTAGAACCTTAGAGGCTGGCCACTCCTGTTTCCTCCCAGTGCGAGAATCTCCCCAGGGCCGACCTGTGGCCGGCCGGTGGTGTGGCAGGGTGGTTGGGTTCGTGCACTCTGCTTCCGCGGCCCAGGGTTTTGCTGGTTCGAATCCTGGGCCTGGACATGGTGCTGCTCGTGGGCCATATTGGGGCGGCGTCCCACGTGCCACAACTAGAAGGACTCACAACTAAAAATACACAACTATGTATGGGGGTTGGAGGGCCTTTGGGGAGAAAAAGGAAAAAAAAAAAGAATCTCTCCAATAGTTTCTGTGACATCATCTTGAAAATCGTCACCACCTAAATCAGCCCATTCAATTGCTTCCAGGCTAGTAGGGTTAGGAAATCCTCTTCTTAACTTGTGACTCCCACCTCTTAGTCTGTGTTTTGCCCTTGGGAGGAGAACAGAGTCAGTCCTCTGCCTCTGCCAGGCATAGCTCTAGCAATCTCTTGCTTCCATTACAAGCCTGCAGAGGGTTAATTATGCATGCAGCTCTGCTCTGCAGAGGAAAAGCACAAAAGGCAGTGTTGAATTAAAGTCACAGAAGCAGTACTTTCTAGCTAATGGTACTGCCCCTCATCCCCAAACAGGTAAGTGGGGGTAAAACGTACAAACATGAATCACAATTTTTCTGTTGACTTTGTGACAGACTTTCTGCCTCTGGGCCGCTGCACCCTCATTTGGAGTTTCTGGCTTTACCTTCAATGACTCTAAGTGCCGTCAAAATAACCCCTGCTCTGTGTGTGTGTGTGTGTGTATGGTGAGGACTAGGGTGGGGTAAGGTGTTAGGAGGGAAGAAGGCTGGAGATCTAGATTATTCTATAATTGACAAAGAAGGAAGACCCTTCTGAAATTTTTGCAGAGTCCTCAAAGATGCTGCACAGACCGTAGCCATAGTCACTAAATTTGATTCATCATTGAAGACAGAGTCCAACTTTTAAATGTTCTCCCTCTGGACACAGCATCATTCATGTGTTTAGTTGGTATTTACTGAATGCCCACTGAATGGATAATCCTATTGCTTGTTCTGCATGGAATACATTATCTAAGCCACCTGCGAATTTGAGATTGACTAGGAGAGAAAAGTCAGTGATATCAGTAAAATCGTAGTAATTGTAGCTACCATTTATTGAGTGCCTACTCACTAGACAGATAGTATATAATTCATGTAACCCCTGTTCCCACCACCTTTCACTGTAATATCCTTACAAAGTGGATATTATCAGAGGGTCTGCAACCAGCACGTGTCTGAGCTGGAACTGGAGTCCAGGCTTTTCTGACAGCATAGCCTTGGTTCTTTCTGTGAAACTACACTGTCTCCCCACAGGGACAGGGACAGAAACCAGTTACAAGGCAGCAACAGCAGCTTTGTACTGAAAGCACTGTGAGTTCAATCCAGTCCACACAACCTCACTGAGCATGTAGACATCTCATTGGGTAAGTTTAGTCTAGGCAGACGTCCTGGAGGAGGTGTCTCCTTGGCTAAATCATATAAGGAATGCAGAATTCGAATTCATGGGGAAATCACTTGGGCTTGCCTTGGATTTGGTTTGCTTAGGGATCAAACACAACTGACAAATGGAAAAGCTCCCCTCCTTCCACTTCCCTCCCTTTTTCCTTCAGTAAGGAGAGAAAGTCTAACTTAAAGCAAGTG